TTTCGAAAAATTATTCTAAAAATACGTTTACTAGTGAAGCAAAATTTTCCAAAAATTTTGTTTTAAAAATACGTTTCTTAGTAACTATGGGATTAGAAAAAAAGGGTGAATCAGGATTGCAATGAAAAGTCAAATATTTGGAGGTAAAGAGAATCTTTTCAGGGGCCAACTTTTGAGAGAAATCTAAGGCTATAGGCTTATAAAAATTAACAAAATTTTCCAAAAATTTTATTTTAAAAATACGTTTCTTAGTAACTATGGGATTAGAAAAAAGGGTGAATCAGGATTGCAATGAAAAGTCGAATATTTGGAGGTAAAGAGAAACTTTTAAAAGGCCAATTTTTGAGGGAAATCTAAGGCTATAGGCTTAGAAAAATTAAGAAAGTTTTCGAAAAATTATATTCTAAAAATACGTTTATTAGTAACTATGTGACTAAAAAGAAAAAAAGGGTGAATTAGGATTGCAATGAAAAGTCGAATATTTGGAGGTAAAGATAATCTTTTGAGTGGCCAACTTTTGAGAGAAATCTAAGGCTATAGGCTTAGCAAAATTAACAAATTTTTCTAAAAACTTTATTCTAAAAATACGTTTATTAGTAACTACGGGATTAGAAAAAAAGGGTGAATCAGGATTGCAATGAAAAGTCGAATATTTGGAGGTAAAGAGAATCTTTTAAAAGGCCAATTTTTTAAGGAAATCTAAGGCTATAGGCTTAGAAAAATTTATAAAGTTTTCGAAAAATTTTATTCTAAAAATACGCTTTTCAGTAACTATGTGACTAAAAAGAAAAAAAGGGTGAATCAGGATTGCAATGAAAATTCGAATACTTGGAGGTAAAGAGAATCTTTTGAGGGGCCAAATTTTGAGAGAAATCTAAGGCTATAGGCTTAGAAAAATTAACAAAATTTCCAAAAAATTTTATTTTAAAAATACTTTTATTAGTAACTATGTGACTAAAAAGAAAAAAAGGGTCAATCAGGATTGCAATGAAAATTTGAATACTTGGAGGTAAAGAGAATCTTTTGAGGGGCCAAATTTTGAGAGAAATCTAAGGCTATAGGCTTAGAAAAATTAACAAAATTTCCAAAAAATTTTATTTTAAAAACACTTTTATTAGTAACTATGTGACTAAAAAGAAAAAAAGGGTGAATCAGGATTGCAATGAAAATTCGAATACTTGGAGGTAAAGAGAATCTTTTGAGGGGCCAAATTTTGAGAGAAATCTAAGGCTATAGGCTTAGAAAAATTAACAAAATTTCCAAAAAATTGTATTTTAAAAATACGTTTATTAGTAACTATGTGACTAAAAAGAAAAAAAGGCTGAATCAGGATTGCAATGAAAAGTCGAATATTTGGAGGTAAAGAGAAACTTTTAAAAGGCCAATTTTTGAGGGAAATCTAAGGCTATAGGCTTAGAAAAATTAAGAAAGTTTTCGAAAAATTATATTCTAAAAATACGTTTATTAGTAACTATGTGACTAAAAAGAAAAAAAGGGTGAATTAGGATTGCAATGAAAAGTCGAATATTTGGAGGTAAAGATAATCTTTTGAGTGGCCAACTTTTGAGAGAAATCTAAGGCTATAGGCTTAGCAAAATTAACAAATTTTTCTAAAAACTTTATTCTAAAAATACGTTTATTAGTAACTACGGGATTAGAAAAAAAGGGTGAATCAGGATTGCAATGAAAAGTCGAATATTTGGAGGTAAAGAGAATCTTTTAAAAGGCCAATTTTTTAAGGAAATCTAAGGCTATAGGCTTAGAAAAATTTAAACAAAATTTCCAAAAAATTTTTATTTTAAAAACACTTTTATTAGTAACTATGTGACTAAAAAGAAAAAAGGGTGAATCAGGATTGCAATGAAAATTCGAATACTTGGAGGTAAAGAGAATCTTTTGAGGGGCCAAATTTTGAGAGAAATCTAAGGCTATAGGCTTAGAAAAATTAACAAAATTTTCCAAAAAATTGTATTTTAAAAATACGTTTAATTAGTAACTATGTGACTAAAAAAAGAGCAGGATCAGGATTGCAATGAAAAGTCGAATATTTGGAGGTAAAGAGAAACTTTTAAAGAGGCCAAGTTTTGAGGAATCTAAGGCTATAGGCTTAGAAAAATTAAAAAGTTTTCGAAAAATTTATTCTAAAAATACGTTTATTAGTAACTATGTGACTAAAAAGAAAAAAAGGTATATAGGATTGCAATGAAAAGTAAATGAGTAAAGAAATATTTAGGGCCAACTTTTGAGAGAAATCTAAGGCAATAGGCTTAAAAAATTAACAAAGTTTTCAAAAATTTTATTCTAAAAATACCGTTTCTTAAGTACTAGGGATTAGAAAAAAAGGTGAATAGGATTGCATGAAAAGTCGAATATTTGGAGGTAAAGAGAATCTTTTAGAAAGGCCAATTTTTTAGGAAATCTAAGGCTATAGGCTTAGAAAAATTATAAAGTTTTCGAAAAATTTTATTCTAAAAATACGCTTTTCAGTAACTATGTGACTAAAAAGAAAAAAAGGGTGAATCAAGGATTGCAATGAAAATTCGAATACTTGAGATAAAGAGAATCTTTTGAGGGCCAAATTTTGGAGAGAAATCTAGGCTATAGGCTTAGAAAAATTAACAAAATTTCCAAAAAATTTTATTTAAAAATACTTTTATTAGTAACTATGTGACTAAAAAGAAAAAAAGGGTCATCAGGATTGCAATGAAAAATTGAATACTTGGAGTAAAGAGAATCTAAAGAGAATCTTTTGAGGGGCCAAATTTTGAGAGAAATCTAAGGCTATAGGCTTAGAAAAATTAACAAAATTTCCAAAAAATTGTATTTTAAAAATACGTTTATTAGTAACTATGTGACTAAAAAGAAAAAAAGGCTGAATCAGGATTGCAATGAAAAGTCGAATTTTTTGAGGTAAAGAAAAAACTTTTAAAAGGCCAAGTTTTGAAGGAAATCTAAGGCTATAGGCTTAGAAAAATTAACAAAGTTTTTGAAAAATTTTATTCTAAAAATACGTTTATTAGTAATTATGTGACTAAAAAGAAAACAAGGTAAATAAGGATTGCATTGAAAATTCGAATATTTGGAGGTAAAGAGAATCTTTTGAGGGGCCAACTTTTGAGAGAAATCTAAGGCTATAGGCTTACAAAAATTAACAAAATTGTCCAAAAATTTTACTCTAAAAATACGTTTCTTAGTAACTATGGGATTAGTAAGAAAACAAGGTAAATAAGGATTGCAGCGAAAAGTCGAATATTTGGAGGTAAAGAGAATCTTTTAAAAGGCCAATTTTTTAAGGAAATCTAAGGCTATAGGCTTAGAAAAATTTATAAAGTTTTCGAAAAATTTTATTCTAAAAATACGCTTTTCAGTAACTATGTGACTAAAAAGAAAAAAAGGGTGAATCAGGATTGCAATGAAAATTCGAATACTTGGAGGTAAAGAGAATCTTTTGAGGGGCCAAATTTTGAGAGAAATCTAAGGCTATAGGCTTAGAAAAATTAACAAAATTTCCAAAAAATTTTATTTTAAAAATACTTTTATTAGTAACTATGTGACTAAAAAGAAAAAAAGGGTCAATCAGGATTGCAATGAAAATTTGAATACTTGGAGGTAAAGAGAATCTTTTGAGGGGCCAAATTTTGAGAGAAATCTAAGGCTATAGGCTTAGAAAAATTAACAAAATTTCCAAAAAATTTTATTTTAAAAACACTTTTATTAGTAACTATGTGACTAAAAAGAAAAAAAGGGTGAATCAGGATTGCAATGAAAATTCGAATACTTGGAGGTAAAGAGAATCTTTTGAGGGGCCAAATTTTGAGAGAAATCTAAGGCTATAGGCTTAGAAAAATTAACAAAATTTCCAAAAAATTGTATTTTAAAAATACGTTTATTAGTAACTATGTGACTAAAAAGAAAAAAAGGCTGAATCAGGATTGCAATGAAAAGTCGAATTTTTTGAGGTAAAGAAAAAACTTTTAAAAGGCCAAGTTTTGAAGGAAATCTAAGGCTATAGGCTTAGAAAATTTAACAAAGTTTTCGAAAAATTATATTCTAAAAATACCTTTATTAGTAACTATGTGACTAAAAAGAAAAAAAGGGTGAATTAGGATTGCAATGAAAAGTCGAATATTTGGAGGTAGAGAGAAACTTTTAAAAGGCCTATTTTTGAGGGAAATCTAAGGTTATAGGCTTAGAAAAATTAACAAAGTTTTTGAAAAATTTTATTCTAAAAATACGTTTATTAGTAATTATGTGACTAAAAAGAAAAAAAAGGTGAATCAGGATTGCATTGAAAATTCGAATATTTGGAGGTAAAGAGAATCTTTTGAGGGGCCAACTTTTGAGAGAAATCTAAGGCTATAGGCTTACAAAAATTAACAAAATTGTCCAAAAATTTTACTCTAAAAATACGTTTCTTAGTAACTATGGGATTAGTAAGAAAACAAGGTAAATAAGGATTGCAGCGAAAAGTCGAATATTTGGAGGTAAAGAGAAACTTTTAAAAGGCCAATATTTGAGGGAAGTCCGAGGCTATAGGCTTAGAAAAATTAACAAAGTTTTTGAAAAATTTTATTCTAAAAATAAGTTTATTAGTAACTATGTGACTAAAAAGAAAAAAAGGGTGAATCAGGATTGCAATGAAAATTCGAATACTTGGAGGTAAAAAGAATCTTTTGAGGGGCAATTTTTGAGGGAAATCCGAGGCTATAGGCTAAATAAAATGGAGGAATTTTTTTCCAAATTTTTTTTCAAAAAACACGTTTATTAGCTTCTTTGGGCGTAGAAAGATCGAAAAGTGAACCAAGATTTCGGAAAAATGTCGAATATTTTAAGGTAAAGAGAAACTTTAGCGGGGCCCTTTTTGAGAGGAATCTAAGGCTTCTTCCAAAAGGGCTTGTTTTTTTGGACAGAAGGTTTCAGAATAGTTTAGCAGCCTGACTGTAGTTGGACACGAAGAGAAGAAATAGGCAGATGAATCCAAGCTGAAAAAGATGGCCTAATTGAAACCAGCATCTGGACTTTCATATATCTATGCACTTCAACATACTCTCCAACAGTAAATTTATTGAAATTAAATTATGGAAAAATTACTAAATACACAAATAAACGAAAAAAAATAAAAGTTAATTAATTACAACATTAAAGAGTTGGTTATACAATAATGTAGAACCTGATATCCATTAAATTACATGCTGCATAATGCAGTTTTTGTGTGCATGGTAGTCAATCAATTCTTTCTTATGGCCTTTCGTGTTTCAATAACTTTCGCCCATATTGTTATGGTTTTCTTGGCAAACATGAGCTCAAAGCCGTCGAAAAGAATTCATTGTGCGAGTTGATGAACCAAAATATGGTTCCATTTCAAAAATCTGCATTTGACCATTGTCACTGTTTTAGTTTGTAAAAACATAACCCCCTTGCACTTTACTATTTTTACAAAACAACGACCATACATACTTATCTAGGGATTCTGAACTTATGTTTGAATACCCTAAAAGCTCTATCAAGCCCCAGGGGGGCTTATTTACTTTATTCAGTCCTAGAGGGGGGCTTAAAAGAGAGGGGGCTTATTAGAGAGAGGGGGCTTATTAAAAAAATTTGAAGTAATAAATGTTTTAAAAATGTCCTTGTCTATTTTTTAAACATCATAAAACAAACACCTATTAAAATGTCATACAAATTTTGTCAGAAAACTTTGCTAGCAGCTGCGAAAGTCTAATTAATCAATTATAAGGTCCTCATTTTCATCAGAATCACCAGGATCAATTGTTAACCCTAGGACATCTTCTAAACAAATTTCAAGTGACTTCTTAGGCGCAAAATTAAGTCTTTCATCGTCGCGCCCGTCAAGAGACCCATTAAATGTCCATGTTTTTCTTGTTGACAACAAAGGCTAAAAGAGAGGGGCGGCTTAATAGAGAGAGGGGGCTTAATAGAGCCTTTACGGTAACTTTTCAAATGTTTACATTTCTTGAAAGAGCAGTCAAAAAAGTCCTTAGCAAATGTTGGGCATCAGAACAATGTAAATCCATAGAGACTCAAAGGAATATGCACATTAATTCCGAAATTTGTTAGTCACAAGAAGGCAACACGAACAGCGAATTTCCTTGATTATTCAAACCAATGTTAAATACATGTTCAATCATTTCAAAGGTTAAATCTATTTCCAATTTCACCCAGCGTGGTTCGTTTGACGTCATCCTCGACCATATTTTTGACTGATTGAAATTACACGTGCAATTAAGCAGTCAAAACATTTGTCTTCATTATCAATTCGACTGAAGAAGACTAGCTGTAAAATTTGCATCATAGATTCCTGGGTGCTTGCGTTCAATATCAGGGACGCATGAATAAAAATTGAAATTGAGGGATTTTAGCTGAAATATGAATGGGCGTAGCGGGGTAATAAGAGATACCCTTTCAAAACGACGGTTATACACGGAGAAAGCAAGTATGAAATTGCATTTCCGAAAACTGGGGGGGGGGGGGGATTTGGTAGCCCCGCTTCCCTGGTACTGATGCCCCTGATTTAGGTATTGCTGTAACCATAATTGGTGCACTTTAGATTCAAGATCTCGAGTAGCCTTGAGAAGACAGCTGGGCATTGAGCCGGAAAGAAACTGTACGGTGAATGAAATAATTAGCCTGATATAATTATTTACAATTTTATCTGTCTTAACAGTCCAGCGTCGTCAGTACGAAGTAATTCTAAGCAGCATGTTAAAGTGGCTTTAAATGCACATTAGCTAATTCAAACATTTTTCTGCTCAGTCTAAAGATGTTTATCTTATCGTTTATATTAGCATAAGTATTGCGTAAATATAGCTGGAGATCTAATGCATTAATATAGATTATAATCTCACGTTTATTCATCATACATTTATATAAGCATACATTGTCCATCAGTGAAGTTCATCTTTGGATGAACATGACGTGTTAATCAGACAAGGCATATGCATCAAAGTCCGGCAGGCCAAGTCACGGGAGACCGAGCTATGCAATCTGGCAATCTGCTATCCAGGCAGAGGGTAAAGGAGGCATCAGCATGCCAGATAATGCCGATCTAGGTATAGGTTACCATACGGCGTGGTCCAATTGTGGCAGCTTAACAATACCGCGATTGATTATTTTAATATATAAGGATATATCATGACCAGGGGTGAAATTCGGCCACCTCAGGTACCTCTTTCCGTATAGGTAGGCATTTGTACTTTATTCTGTATGACTTTTTCCCTTTTTTCTTGTTCTTTCGTTTTTTGATTACCCTCGTACAAGTCAGTCCTCTTTCGCAGGCACAACTGCTCAACGCAAAGCCATCGATCAGGTATTTTCTCTGCAAGAAGAATGCATCGGTATAAGATCTCTTATGCATTGTTTACTTGTTTTCAAGTTTGTAAAATGGAGCAAAAATTGTCATAATGAGTATGCTGCCGGATCACAGCCATAAGAGAAGGAAATATAACCAAAAATAAAAACAAGGCACAGTACAAAAAGACTTGCAAGAACATTGGAAAGGGCATTTTAACACGGAACAAGCATACAGAACTGATTACTAATCTTCAGATTTTGATGCTATATATTGAAGAATTTAAAAGAGAATACTGACAAATGTAGAAATGTGATTAATAGCTGACATTATGAATCAGTAGTACCCTCTTTTAGATACTCAATCTAACTCGCGTAACTGAGATACTCTTGTTCAGGTACTAAATTAGAGTTTTAAACAATTAAAACATTAACATGGTAAATATGTCGAAAGTTGGTGACTTCTGTAGAACAAAAATGACATGTGAAGGAGTGCAGAATTTGTTTTGCTGTGGCATTATTCTGAACACAGCAATATTTTACATGAAATCTTAAACAAGTAGGATTAAATCGCAAGCTCAATTCAAGTGATCAGGTTGACAGATCGAGGGTTACCACTCTGCCTGGCTTGACTTTGAGGCTTAAATCACCAAGACTTTTCCAAAACCCAACTGATCCACATTCTCGGGGCTCTAATAAAAAAGCTAATAACAGCTGTGCTGTCCTGCATAATACCGCTAAAAAAGCGGTTTTTTTGTCATTCAAAAGAAGATATGTCTGTCTAGTGAAGAGGTGGGCAACCTTCTTGGCGAGTGGTGTTCATTTGAGAGGCCCTCATTTCTATGGAGGCCCTAAAAAGAAGGGGCCTTTACTTGAAGTGTTACGGTATGCAATTTCTGAAAGAACTTTGCTGCGAAAATTGCACGAGAGACAGAAAAATAGTAGGCTGCCAAAATCAAGGGATTGTTTTTATCGGGCTTATGGATTAGAAACTCGCGAATACAAGCTAAATGCTTTAATTGGTGGCCGCAATTGCAATATCAGAAAAGTGACAAGAGCTTCGTGGGTGGAGGCAGATGGGAAACTGGCATTGATGGCCAAACATTTCAAAGTGTTATTCATTTAATCAATATCTGAACCTGGGCATCAAAATGGGGCGAAACTAATGTGTAAGAAAAAGAAAGCTTTTTATTATAAAGAGCTTCTCGGAATGAATGAAGTTTACGTGACCATGGCTAGGGAGCCTGTTTTTTTATCTTTTGTTTATCTACTACCACTTTTTGGAAACTTCCATGAGTGAAAAACTTTTTAAACCATTGGCTAAAGTTCACATTCTTCATTCAATTTCAAACTAGATTTTAATTAGTGTGCTTTCACACTTATGAAAAGCACCGACAACAGTGGCAACTCCAATTACTTAGTCCGAGCAGAAATTCTCAATTGGTTCCCTGACGATTGCGTACAAACGATACCGGACTGGTGACTAATGACGTAATCATGTGCGATCTGGTCTATTCATAAATCAATGCACACTTCCACGGGTGCACTTTAGTCAAGCATCACCAATATCGGTAATAAAGGACGTATATCTCAGGGATTTCGCATGTTTCACACGGATAACCAACAAGATTAACAGAACTTTTTGAGATCACCTTACCAAGATAATATAACGGTCATAGAAGACTTCAGCACCAACTGCGGTTGTTATGAACTCTTGGCAAAAAAAGACTTATTGAAAAATGTCTGGAAACGAAGCAGCAGTTCCTTTGTTAAAGCTACCAGCACAGTAAGAAAAAAATTCGCAGAAAAAGCTACAAAGAATTCTTGGTAGTATATTCATGGCTTATATTTAACTGCAGACCACAGAGACATTCCGCAAACCTAAGCTGTCGCTATGGCTTATAAGTAGAGACAAAAATGCCTGCAAAACGTCTTGGTGTACTGTACAAAGTTCATACCTATTTTTTCATGGTAGCCCCCCCTCCCATAGATTTAAGCGAAATATTTTATCATTTTCAAACCTTTTAGTATTGTGGGATTCAGAGCACTTACGCTTGCTCTAAAAGAGCTGGGTGGCCTTTGATTCAAAAATCGTAACCAAGAACACATTGCCCTTTAAACACAGGGAACGGATATAAATATCCGGGACCTTTCAAACGAGACTACGGTCTGCCGCGAAAATTTTGCAGTTTAGGATCTATAGCCAAAAAACGGATGAATCAACAGGGACAATAGAGCATATTTCGGAATTGGAGGCGGGGGGAGCTTTAGACAAATTATAAAACTTTTGTGGTAGTCTTTCCCCACTGTCTTTGATGCCGCTGCCTGAATATCATAGTTGGGGGCTAAAAGAAGGGGGCTAAAGGCACCTCCAGCCTCCCTGACTCCAGCGTGCCCGATTATAAGGTTATTTTTTACTTATGCTGTAGCTCTGCGTGGATCACCATAGATTAAGGTGGAACAATACTGGCTAATTAAGAATGAGAACGGTGGTATTTCTCTTCATCTTGTCATATTGACCAAAGGTTTTTATACTGAAGGAAACAGAATCAGAGGAGGAAGTAAGAAACGTGCCGGCCGTAATTACGTGTGGGTTGTAATGATATATAAAGGAATAGCTTGGGATATAAGGCCAAATTGAATCGGTGAAAAAATGCCGAGAATGAGATCATCTCTAAGATGGGAAGCTGATAGCGATATGTCGTTGAAAGAAACATTCCAGAATCGCAATATCAATGTATTTGCGTTGACCCAGACTTGATTTAAAAAAGGTACGTTTCAAATGAAAGTAACCCTCAGAGTTTAACCAGATCAATATCCATGCTGAAAAAATTGCACCACATTGTATGGTGCTTTAAGACATTGGCAGCCCTCCTCCGCATAGCAACGATTTAACATCGAAAATCAATTTATATTATTACTTGAGGTTCGAAGAGAGATATATGAGTAACTCTATGTTAAGAAAAGAAAAGGAATTTTCAGCATCTGATAGATCGTCACAGAGGTCAACACAAATAACTGAGTGAGATGAGCTCAAAGGTTTGCACAAGCTTCCAGCATGTACCTGGCTTGCAATGGAAGATGCAAAGCCGTCATTGTATTTTGTCAATTCGGAGAGCTACTCAGGCCCATTACCAAACGTCAGCTGCATTATGGGATGCGATGCAGCTTGCAAGTTCTCATGGGTAGCGAAGGCCTTGAAACAGTGGAACCGACTTTCCCAGCCAACCAAGAATAACGTTTAATACAGACGACAGACAACTTCCTGACGATAATTCTCGTACAAGATGTAAAAACATGTTGGTTTTTGTGCAAGACGAGATTATGTTACTTCAAACATTGATTTCCTGCAGCAAGGGTCGTTTCCATGCCAACAAGCAGTGCTGTGACTGATAGCCTAATCTGGCTCTGATTCTTTCGTAATTTCGATCAACAGCATTTGGGTGTCTAATCTCCATGCATGCAAGGAGGTGACGATCATGAGAGCGCTGTCCCAGGGAGTATGGAAGGAAAGTCATGCTTAACGCGGAACCGAGTTATTTTCATTTGCGAGCTAGGGCATTGTGCAAACAGCGGGTACAGACATCGTGTGAATGTTTCATGATTGTCAAATTATTTTTCTCTAAATAATTATGATTTTTACAATAAGCACACAAGGTTGCATTTGTAATTTTTATTAATTTTGGGCTTAGAAAGCAAAACTGGCGTTTAGATTACCCATAACCTCAACATTTTCCTCAATTCGAATAAAAAACAGACTAATTCGGTTAATTTTATTATGTGTGAATATGAATTTAGACTTTTGAAGACGGTCGTGCCACAGTTCTTCATAGGACGATAAGAAGCTTGCATATAAAACATATAAAAAATAACAGCGATTGATTTGGCATCAACTTTAATGCAAATTACGAGAACAAAGTTCATTCCAAGCAATTTTGTTGAGCTGAGCACCAGTCTTTCTACTGAGACTATAGCGAATATTTTCTGGAGTGTTTTCAGTTTTGTGTTATACGAAAAAATCGGCTTCTACGCTTGGTAGCACGACAGCAGACCAAAGCAAAAAACAGGATGAAAGAATACAATATGGGTCTCTCTTTTACGTAAATAGTTCGGTGAAAGCCTGGCAGGTAGCCGTGCCAACCTTCTTACGTCAAATTCGAACAAACCGCAAATATTCCTGTTGTGAATATTCGCAAATATCACTTCAGAGAATAGTGGCGCTGATTAGTCAAAATGCAACCAATCCAGAATGCCGTTTCTCCACTTCAAAATTTTCTCGCAAATTACTTAGGAATGCAATTGGAGAAGCAAGGACCAAGGCTTAAATTTGCATTTTAGTAGAACTATATTTGTATTGTATAAGAATTCCGAGTGATATGGTGGGTATAAAAACTTGGAGGCAGAGAATGTAAGGTATTTTTGGCAACCCCAATCCCTCCTGCCTCAGTTCCCAATCGAACAGCCTCGTTATCAAACCTATCAGTAAAAGCACTGCACACATGAAGACGTAGCAAAGTTTGGAGATTAGAGAGAGATATGTAGATTTTGGGTAGCGGGCAGTGGACCGACATTGGATCAAAGGCATGTCAATCCATATTGACAGGATTCTATCAAAGTCGAATTCATTCCCACGGAAAAGTAACAGTGAAAAAGCTCTAGCTTTGAGCCGAGTATGCCAAAGTATTAACCTTTGAACTAAGACTAAATTCTTACAAAAAAACAAACCAACAACGTCAGTACATATAAATATTCAGGATATTTAATCAAGTGAATTTGTACATATTTAAAGGAAAATAGAAGGCAAATAGAAAGACCTCCTAACTAGTATGAAGGCTGACAAAGAGCTTTGCCTCAGCAAATAGAAAAAGGCTTTACATCTTGCTAAATAGACTAGCAGCACTGTCCGATTTAAACACTGGATATCGGAAGGAAGTGACAAATGCCTTATCAGAAGGTTTCTATTTGGAGAAGGCCTTAATACATAGATCTTTACTACATCCCTCTTTTCCTTAAGCGATGGGTAGCTAATTTAGGCAGATGTGAGCCTCGTCTTACTCTAGATCAAAAATAAGGGCCTACGCCAAATCTAACAATGACGATACTGTGTAGGCTCGTGAATTGGTTATTTCAAACAACGTCCAAGGTTTTCTCCAAACAATGCACCATGAAAAGTGGGATCTGACCTGGCAGCAATCACAGATACTTGCTGTCATTTGAATACGTAGTGAGGATAATAATGGATCAGAAATAATTCCGTATATTTTCGACTGGCAAAGGTTTGGCGTCAGTTAAGGCCAAACGCATCCTGATCAATGCGCGACAAATATATTCTATGATATACCTTAGATGACTAGACCAAACAGAAGCAATAAAGAAAGTAGATGAGATGAAGCCTTGATCAATGCACGATAAATATAAATTGTGATATACCTTAGATGACTAGGCCAAACAGACGCATTATTGAAAGTAGTTGAGATGAATTCTTGAGTTACAACAACGGATGGCGGCTAGGGCTACCTCATAGGGGCACCTTTCCTCCGCAGAATTACCTCTTACCGCTGATTACTGTGTACTTTACCGAAAAAACAGTGTTAAATGCCACCTTCCCAGCCCCCCCCCCAGCCCCTATTTTCAGACATGGTAGTTATGAAAATGTTCACAAAAATGAAGGCAATTGGGAATTCAAGGAAAATCAATAGAAGGCGTACTTAGGACATTTAAAATCAATTTATCATGAAAATATTTTCTTACCCTAACATTCTTTTGACATTTCTTCCCAAGTGGAATTAATGGACTACAGACACCATAACTGCCACCCGTGGATTTGCAGCAACTATCTCGGTTTTGCGTCACACACATCAAATTATTCTTGCATACCTAGATCGAAAAATAACTTAATGTTAAATGAATAATCGGCATGGCAGAATTAAGTAATATATATAATTAACATGATAAGTATATGTACAGAGTGTATGATTCACTCAAATCTGTCAGACTGAAAAGAGACAAGAGGCAGGGACCACGGAGGACCCTTCGGATTAGAAAGGGGGTCCGGGGCTGAGATGGCCTTACACGAAGTGCAAAGATAATTATACAGAAGGTCACGAGTACTTTTCTGGAAATGATAGGAAGCTTTGAGCCTATAAGTTGCAGTTTGTATTAAATAAAGTCTTTTGCTTTCTATAACATTCGATGATTATTTAAAATATCAGTTTTGAGAGGCCTTACAAAATGAATTCAGAACGAATAAAAAGGTATGGGGGTATACAAAAGGAAGAGAGAAAAGAGGACAGATGGTTCAAAATTTGAAATTTCTTTAGGCATTCAGGTATCTATAGAATAGTTGTAATTTCACGTAGCGGTTAAAATTTCAATGAACAAAATCAGTATATGAATCAGCTCTTGATTTTGACCTTAAATTTATTACAGACTAGCCACAATATGACGGTAACTTGAAGCTTCCACGACAAACGAAAATTTATTCCCTTTTCATATCAAATGACTAAAAATATATTGCTTGAAAGCTTTGTTTATTCAGCTTTTCATTGTCTTGCAATCATTTTATTCGTCTTTTCTTAATACTGTAGTGCTTAAATTTGCATGTCAGGATAGAGGTATATTCGGAAAGAGGGGGGCTTTATTTGGGGGAGGGACAATTTGTGGATTTACGGTAAATGATAAGGTCAAATATGGCTAATACGGAAAGTTGTCAAGCGAAAAATATGAACCGGTCAGTTAAAATGAACAAAGAGGCTTCATTGCACTAGTAATCCTGCCGATGCTGATTATGTCTCAAAGCTAAGTTTGATGGGGCGGCTCATAATCTCGTAGGCCTAAAATTAATTGATGAACAGTCGCTTAAGCGTCACACAGAACGTCATCGCAACAGTTCTCAAGTAGCCAGCTAATTACAAATTGCTTTGGGCTATGTTAAAGAGAAGTAACAGGAAAGACTTTCCAAGTCCACAATCCTCTTCGTTAGGGCATAAACACGACGTAATAACCAACAACACTAGCTTTCATTTTCTGTGGCATTTTTCTGTCACGGCAAATTAAGATGAAGTGACCATTTCTAAAGCTCCTATGTCGTTTGGATATCGCACAGCAAACATGAGTATTTTTTGCATTTGTAAACCTAGCTTGTAGACACCATGGACCTAAAGACCCATGGCTCCCTTGCAAAAGCACAAACAATTCAGTCCGGCGTCACTTTGATACCACGTGACTATGCTTCTGGTGTCCTAAAGGTATGTAAGGTTGTATCGTTCGAAACCTGCACCCCCCTCCCCCTAAATCATACTTTTCCACATCCCGGCATTAAACTTCTTTGAATACAATATTCGCTTTTCCTATCATTACAGTATATTGGGAAGGAGGTTCAAGTAGTTTAAAACCAAATCTGGAGGGCTTGTCAAACTTTGAACACAAGGTTAACAAAATGCAGCGAAACGCAATTATCGGGAGCACGGAGTATGAATTAAAAGAAATTTTGTGTTAAAACCTGTGTTTATGTTAGTGGATCAGTGGTTTGGACTTTGCAATGTAAATGAATATGCAGAGGAACAATTTTTCCAACAGAGCTTTTTGAGGTTGAGTATTACAACCTTTCCACGCGTTTCCACTCCGTCCTGGAGTCAAAGAGCAGGCATAATTAGGACATCCACGCGTATGCTCATTAATTCCAGGACGGAGAGTTGCCTAAATCAAAGACTTTCCCCTGTTCGCCTCCCTAACAATGTCCGAAAGAGAGGCTTCCTATTTGGCGCTTTACCAAGGTCAGAGTGCTGATTGGTTAAAAAGAAAACTAATCAAACACAGCTTCTCTCCTACTGGCCTATGTTTGGGACTCGTATGTCTGTCGGGCAAAACATGATCCTTTCTTGCTTCCCAAATACTTGGGGCTCTTGAAATAGTTGCCAAATTTGTCAACGGGTATAATAAAGGTATTTTTAAAGAAAATCGTTGATAATCCATAGCCAAGACTTGAAGTGATTTCAAGCAAGCTATAAGACTTGTGAGCTTGCAGATACCAAAGATTGTAGTGGTTGTAAGATCCATATATAGGCCAGTATGCTGGAATGAAGAAGATACTTTGATGACAAGGGGATGTAACAACTTTGGAGTATCGAACCACAATTCTGCTTTTATTGGAGTGGCTCATTTTTGGACAATAACAAATACGGTATCATTACATATAAATTCGCCCTCCAGAACTCATCACTATAACAGTAACGTACCAAAGATTTAGTGCTATGCTAACATCAAATGAAAATTGAAGGAGTCAGTTTCATAATGATATCGAGATCGCATTCCAAAAAAGACCTTAAGAGCGAAGAGCAAACTTAGAGTGTTTGAATGCCCTCAATCATTATTAAAACTGATAGTTGCGAAAAAGGAACTGAAAATGTGGTGATTAACGTTTCAAATATCCATCATACTCTCCATATAATGCCTTGTCCAGACGTAGTATAGTAAAAATGTTCTGTAACTAGGGACTTTAAAAAGTTCCAATATTGGAAACGTTTTTATCGTTTCATCTTGATGATATCATTGCTCTATATTGCACCACAGAATATGGATACTTTGCACACAGGTAAGAAAACCCATCATTCCTTACGATTAAACATAATAATGTGCTTATATGTAACTGCAAATGACTTGCATAGGACATCACAGTCCACTGGTTAAAAGTGCAGACAAAGAATAGGTTCGCAACAGTTCAACTTTACGTGGTTGACCTTTTCACAAAATCAGACCACTTTTTAGGATTATCCAACACAGTTCTAGTTTAATGCTCAACCTTTCCTCCAACAGTGGGATCATAACCGAATATTGATTTTCGTTTGCTACCTAATACTATCGAGAAATAACAGGACCAAATCACAACGAATATCTTCTAATGGCTCCTTTTTACGTTTCTTTAAAGACTAAAAGATTACGAACAACCAGTACTTCTGCGCTCCACTGATAATGATCAATGTATGCTGCAGCTTGAAGTAAAAAACAAATATGCCCTTTGCAACCAGGGGATATCGAAGGGCCGATTACAGCACTTTCTCCTTAAACGAAGAAGCAAGTACACACACGAAAGTGGTTTCCAGGTCTGCCAATAGAGATGATCGACTGGCTATTGAATTGAATTGCTTAGATCTCGTATTTGAATCAAGAGGAATGGGGCTTCTGCTCAAGTGGGACTGTTGAATGTATAAGTAGTTGTATAAGTAGTGTTCAGCCACAGAGGCCTTGTCTGGACACAAACAACCTCTTTCAGCGAGTTTAAATAAGGGTGTAATAATGTCCCAGAAGTCTAGAACTCGATGGAATGGATTGACTTTTGGGATTCAAATTATTGCATTGATGAGCCTTAACACTTTTAAGACCAAAACACTATTCGGTAATGATTTTATGAATATAGAACGATTCAACTTATTGCTTACAAAAGCTGCTAAATATCCGACACATATTTGTTGTAACTCTTTAACTAAAAAGCAATTTTTCTGAAAGCACTTAAACTTTTGTTTGAGTTGGATTCACCTTACGATTGATTAGCCAAATGGATTTATCCTCTCCTTATGTAACAAGTGACCACATTCTTAATTAACATATTTCAAGGTTGCAGTTTGGTTGTAGTTACGAAACATAATAGATAAAATTTCAACAAGTCTGCCCATTAACTTGGCGTTTCTCACAAACAGCTGACCATCTTTCACCCAAATGTTCTTATTTCGACGTATTATCATATTTCAGGACCCTCCAGAACCTTCTAGGTTTTTGGCATGGAACTTATGATTGGACTCAAAAATTTTAGACCCCTTATTTGTATTTCGACCTTTCAGATCATGATATAATCAGGACTTTATGATAACTTGGTAAATTACAATGATCGCTACTCCTGCTGAAAAATTCGTTCTAAAACTATATCAATTAGAGGTATTCAACTGCACAATTTAAATCGACAATTTAATCAACAAGAAATTAATAACATTGGGGTGAATTATTGCGCCAACTTTCCTGAATCTTGTCTTTCTTTTTTTAAAAGGCCAAACTCTTTGTCTGGTGAACTACGAGGTATCCAGTCTAAAAATTTGGATACAAAACAAAACAACATGTGGATGATATGTTTTGTGCAACAATTACTTCGGTTTTCACTTAAAAAAGCTTTCTTCACCTAGAGCCTTCCAGCAAAGGGCACTCTCGAAAATCGGACACCTAAAACAACGGACACCTCAAACAACGGATGCATAAAAAAAATGGACACCTTCAAATATCTCTATTCACCGATAATTTTCAGCATTAGCAATTGGCTTTGCGTCTTTATATTTAAAAGGATTTAAATCGAACGCTGTAAAGCTATGGTGATCAGTATAATTTTTATAAGGATTCAAAGTTTGCAGACTTTGTAAAGTGTGTAATTTTGATAGAGTCTCGCTTTGTATTAAGACGCTGTACGTCGTCACTTTGCTACTGAAGTCGAGATCACCGAGGCCATAGATCTGGCATCCAAATCTCTTTCTTCTCACACTGCCAGGGGGATGTCGGTTCACAAGGAACCTCAAATTGGCTATGAAAAATCTTAGTCAAACAAAATTGAGCATGTTTATTACATTAAATGACCGAGAGTGCACGGGTAACATAAATGATGAAACTTGATGTTCATCAGTGTCGATTTTCGTCAGACATCTTGTGGCCAACCAACCATAGTTTTGGTCGTAACATCAGGTTTCTCACAGGAAAGCAGAAATTAGTGAACAGTGCATTTTAGGGAAACATGGAGAAGCCATCCTCAATGAATTGATATCTGAATAGCTTGCGAGTATGAGTTACAAAGGATCAAAGCATTCCGAACAAGATGATTGAAAGTGATAGGCGATTACTGTAAGGGTGTAAGGGCACTGGTGACCAACCATCGCGAGGGATTCCTCCTTCCGTGAAGTTTGGCTTCAAGTTCATGCCACAGGTCTGGCAGGTTCTGGAACAGGGACCGCAGAAGCGGGGCTGCGGGGGTTTTAGCCCCCCAATAATTTCCAAAATGTACTTGAAACAATAGAAAAATCACCTTGCTTTTGATTTCTAGCATGTTTAGCCCCCCAAAACGTTTTACCTCCTAATCTGTAACACGCTTCGCGGTCCTTGTTCTGGACAAAAATCGAATGACTGCTGCTATAGCAGAAAGCCAATTTATGATTTGACAATGAATTGGCGTGGACGTGTGTCGGAATACTCTCAGTACATCTATCGATAAACATTGTTAATCAAAAGGTTGACATGGCAGAGTATCCAAAATGCATTGCCAGCCATCGAGGGACTTTATCCAGGGTGGTATTTTGCTATATTCATCTAGAAAACAGATGATATAGAAAGCGTTTTTTCGTATGTGACGGGGGTGGCCATTATGAAATTCAAGCTTAAAATTATAGAAAATGGTGTAGGCTAGCACTGCAGAGGCAATCTGTAGGAACGTCGGAGGCATTTCAAAGTTGGAGAGGAACAGATAGGATGGGACACTATTCTCAAAAAGAGGGAGATGTCAAAAACGTTCTTAGTCTGGTACCTTTAAGAAAAAGGCACTTTCCCTGAAGTGCCCCCGGTTCCAACGTCCCTGATTGTGCCCTCATGGATGCTATTTTCTGCTCAAGCATTGTCGTAGTCCAAATAGGAGTAATCTTGACAAAGCTATTTGGCCTACCATATCATTTACGGTTTGAAATTCAAAGTAACCTGCCTGATATTCAAAAACAATCAAAAGCTGTCTCTAAAATCAAAGCGAAACTAAAATTAAAATTAAAAGCGAATTCTTGAAAATCTTGTATTATAGACTGCGAGGGTCAATAATATAGACTCCCTTCTGCTTACGTAAAGTGGGAAACTGGACTATGCAATGTTGCATAATGTGGTGCAAAAATGGTTTGGTCACAACCGTCGTTAGGGAGATGGTCTTCCGTTGGTGGGCTCTATTTTAAGCACCTTACGTGGTTGTTCGAGTATCGCTACCATGCCGGTTATGTTTACCTGAGTCCAAGAATTGAATGATCGTCAAATAAGCCTACATGCCCCTCTTGAGGAACCTCGAAGCCAGGGGTGTAGAGCGATGAAACGAACCAAAAGAGCACGTACAAAACCAACAGAAAGAATAACAACTGACCAGCTTTAGGCATCTTTTACAGGGATCCGGCCCTCCGAGCCCCCTATAGCCCTACACCTCTGTTTACAGCCAATTCCCCAATCTTACGTGGCTGGTCAAGGCATATTACAGAGTGCCAGTTTGAGCTTGTCCTGAAATCCACAGAGAATCACACAGAACACGGCCAACCGCATAAAAATGCTGTGAAAATTGTAAGTGGTTTCACAGTTAATCTTAGAAATGCAAATCTGCAAATAATCATAAATTTTGTCCAATGGCCACTTCTGTAAAATTTGAAATTAGGTTCGGGTTAAGAGATAAGAAAAGGTGTTTCGATCTGAGTGGTGTCAGGTATTTAGCAAGCATTGCCTTCTCGGCTTATTTAAAAGTGAGTCATGAAAGCAAAGGGACGAAGCTAGGGTATCTTTTATATAAGAACCATTGAATTGACGCTCAGGCTGGTTGTTCTTGATTTTTCAGAAAAATCTGAAGCTGGATTGTTTTTATTTTTTCCCCAAATTATCAGGGTGTAAGCAGAGAAATTGTTAGCTATTGCGCTCTAGGGTAGTGTTCAGGCCTCGTTTGCCAACAAAGTGGGCGAGACATCCTGTAATTGACGACAAGTTTGAAAATTTTATTCTAAAAAGCACCCCTAGCAAAAAATCCTCGTTTTGAGATAAAACGTTGTTCAAAATTACGTTTTACAGTAGCTAAACCTCAACTTGTTCTTAATTTGTTCTCAACTTTTGATCAGTTTTGAGGCTTGTGTTCTTACAAATTGTTCTTATTAATAGAAGAGAGTAATAATTGGCTTAAGAATATTATCATATACTACTCTATTTCAAATCTGATATGGATGGGACGTTCGAGGGTGGGATTGCGTTTAGTGAGCTCATCATTATGAAACAGCATTGTGCCAATTCGAATATTTCGTATCGTTTGGCTAGTTTTAGTTTTAGCCTAAAACAGCGCTTTAAAGAAGGTGAAATGTGCTATTTCCTACACTTTTGTAACATTGGATAAAATTCAAAATCAGGGCAATTAGATAAGATGTTTAGACACTCAGTTCGTATTGGCTCCTTACCATGAAGAGATGTGAAATTGCAAAGGATAGACCTAAATTGATTGAAATTAGGGTAATTTTATATGTATCTCCAAAGCTTAATATTTGTATTCAAAAAGCAGCTTTGATCAGGGTTCAAACAACAAAGAAGGACATCGCAACGGGGAAAGCAAGACATGTTTCTACCAAATGGCCTATTTAATTGGTCTGATGCCACAGTTTAGGCATTTTATTGAAAAGGCTCTCTAAGGTAAAAGACGCACTTAAGAATTTTCTAACACCATTCCAAATAAGTTACATTCATTACATTTACATCCTATTACAATTAGGCGTTGTGCTAATATCGATACCTGAGTTTGTCTGCAACAACGAGAACATCGAAAATGCTTGAAATAGAACGCGTAATATTTGTTGCTTTTTAACCAGTTAGGCCTTGCTTTGGAAGGACAGCAATTTTTGTCTGCTTGCGATGAAGTCAAAACGAAAAATATGAGTTTATGCCAAAGATTGTTGCAAATTTATGATTGTGGAAAAAGATTATGTGAATTTTCGGAGTGGACAAATTAACTTGAATAAACCAAAGAATATACCGTGTGCGGTTGCAAAACATGTCCCAGATTGCAAAAGTATTCCCCAATAATATGGCAGCCTACTGAAACCATTTTGGCTATCTGTAGCCACAAACAAATGGGTATTGGATGTATTCATAAAATCAATGTAAAAATTGAAAATTAAATGAAATAATCCATGAAAAAAGAATTCGAATTTATACGCTTGGCACAAGAGGATTTATGGTAGGCCAGTCGATGAGTCAGCGAAGGATCGGTCAAGAAAGTAAACCGTTTATTCTATTTATGTCTGAGGACCCTATTGCTGCATATTAGTAATCAATAATGCAAACCGTTGACAACTTATTATGATTTGACACCCAACATGATGACTACAAACAGGCAAATTACTGTTGTAACTCTGACAGAACTCCTAAAGAATACTCGATCGAAGTGACGATAGTTGGCATCTCAAAAATGCAAGTTACAAAAACCATGGACAGGGTGGACCCTAGGGCAGGGGTGGACATGGCACTATTTCTCATAATTTGCACTTTCAGATTGTCTTTTTCAGCTTTTTCTTTCCCCATCGAGTTTTAAATGAACCGGGAGGTGTTACAGAACTGCGTCTAAAAAACTTTATTTGATCAGATGCCGTACTAAACTAAAAAGTTAATTAAATAGCCATGCTTGCTTAAATAGGGAATCCGTCATTCTAAAGGGAATATCGTATGAGCCATGTCTAGTAAAAGTCAAATTTGCGAAAATGCCAGGTGGCGAGAGGCAATTGCTTTTGTTACTGTTAACACTTGCACGCCAATTTGTCTCATATGCAGCATACAGTTTGTATGATGGCTAACTTGGCACGATAGGCAAAGACAACGGGGCAAGCGAGAAACTAGTTCCGTCCGGTGTGATGTGTTGAGACAGTTCTCCAAATCTCTCATGGTGAAGAATTCACCATTTATTTACTGAGTTATCCATTAACCAATATGGTTATTGCGTTGGAATTTGCCAGATATCCACAGCTGGTTCAATCTAGACAATAACCAGTAACCAGGATTTGTTGTGCAAACCCAAAGATTTGATATTAGATGTGCAACCGTTTTCATCTCGCAAATCGGAAGGAATAGTGTTTACTTTCTTAGAAACTATTGGCCACTAAATATCCCCTTCCATGTCGAGCATACTCCCGAATTCTGTGACTTCGCCATCCTTTTGCAATACCGACCACGCAAGAATTGGGAAATCCAGTTTATATTCGTTATCATAGTTACAAAATTCTTACGAGGCTTCTTCACATCAATACAGCCCAATTCTTTAGTTGTTAGGTCGAATTTCAAACCTCAACCCGTATCTTGCAAGCAGATTTTGATAAATATCACATCTGATTAATAGAAATTGTAGCATAGCTGCCAATAATCACACAGGAAGGTGTAACTTCCATCACACGAAGCTAGCATGGGATGTTTTCTACGGTTTTATTTACACGGCTCAAGTAGGCCACTCTGTAACTACTTAATATAGGCAAAAGCAGGATGTATTTAATGACAGGAACAGGTTTATCCGATATTCCTTCTTATTTTATCTATTTGTTATGATGGCGATCCCTTAACACACACAGAGTCGTTAATAGCCGTACGGCAATAAATCTTTGTCGATCAAATGATTTTGATTTGTCACTAGATAAAGCGAATAGAAATAAGCAATCACTTACCATTCTCCCCGTCGTTTCTAATGTAACTGCCAGAAGTATAAGCAGAACTAGCAGCAACTCGCTAATGTCAAAACTTCGGATTTTGATCCGTCTCATCGCTGCATTGGTCTGCACGCTAAAATATCGAGAATCAAAGTCAGATCTCAACTCCAAAAAACAAAACTGCTTGCAATTGTAACAAGTTACAGTCTCCGATAATTGTAGTTCAGCAATGATTTGTATTAAATCCGCTTTCAATATCTGGGCCTTGAACGTAGAAAAATCGCCTGTTCAGTTAACGTTTGATAGACGTGTCCACTCTTAATTCCTGAAGTATTGTCTATATCTCTGGGTTCAATGCCGCTAAATTCTTCTATGACCGCCTCGCTGTGGGCTATTCCTGAGCTTCTAAGGGTCGCTGAATTGATAACTGTTTCGTAAGCAACTAATTAGACGTGTCATGAAAATTGTTACGCAGTCGCATCAAGGCTTCATAAGGCCTTATAAAATTTAGCGTAGATACATAAGTGTTTTAGCTGGCAATAGAACATATGAACTGCGTTTCAATCTCGCTACAGACCATAAAAGGCAACGCAGGGACAGGGAGACCTCTGGAGGTTCGATTCCGGACAAGGCGAGCAAGGTGGACGGCTATTTTCAACGCTGATTCAGTTAATTAATCGAAGACACGAAGACTGTCCCGGTCACTTAAAGGCGTGGTTAAATGCAAAATCACTTGCGGAAACTTGGCAAGCAAATAAAGGTAGATCTGTCCGCTGGTTAGTGATACAGTGGCCAAAGGGCTCGTATTATCACCTCCAAGGCTGGTAAGGATCCTGCTTTGAACTTAAAGCAAATTTACGAACGGAATTCAGGAAAAGAATTTGTTGCCTGCATTTGATATGGCGGCCTACTTTAACCTATGCGAAAACTCAATCCCTGTCAACTATTGAATTATTTACGCATTTTCTGTGTTTGATTGAAAGGGAAAATATTTGAAATAAAAGAGTGTGAATTTGATGAAAGCATAAAGCAGTATGCTTGTCCATCAATGCCAGTAAAAATAAAGTGGATACCTCCCTGAAACAAGGGCACGATCAATCTACACGCCAGGAAACCCATCTTGAACAACAACATGAAAGTTACTGTGTTGTATTGAAGAGAGAGTAAATATGGGAATTATAGGGGGCGGAGGAACTACTCCAAATTCGATGTGGTTAGGAAATTGCATTTCTAAAAAGATACTTTTGGCCAGGGACGGCTTGAGAGGTAGAAAAAGGAAAGACTGCGATCGGAACCGATTAAGAAATTCACTGTGCTACACCCCTTCCCTCCCAAAAAAATCGGCCAGTATAAAATCCAAAGGAATGATGTCACTTCTAAAGGGTGCAGAGGGATTTCATCTCTTAGCAATAGGAATAAAAAACTAATTTTATTGTGATTTATCTGTTGACAAAGTGAGTAATCTAGAAAGGGAGCCAATTGGCAAGTATTATTTCAATGAATATAATTCAACTATAGTAACCTTATATCTAAAGTCTGCCAATATATGTAATTTTAAAAATTTAACTACTTCAGCAGCATTTCTTCGATTTCCTTGAAAGCAGCAATGTCGAATTGCGAATTAACGCGGGGACTTCCCGCCTTTCAACGCAAACTTTGGAACGGGGAGGGAAGATCCTACTGCAAGTCAGGACAAAGGAGTTCCACATACAGGAATGTCATACAGAAAGTTGTCTCACAAAATGTTCCCTGTAGATAGGATACTTTGGTCGCTTTTTTTATAAATGATCTCCTTAATTCGACAATTATCGAATAAGTTTCTGCAAACATGTTTAAATCAAGGGCGGGTCTTACTGTACTCTGGATAGCAGAGCCACATAAACTCGAGCGCTGAAATAGAAAGTAGGGGTGGAGAAGCGGAGGAGCGTCCATGGAACGGGGAGCGTTGAGAAAAGTTGGGGGTCTAAAAAATGGGGGGGGGGGGGGGGCTTAAACCGTAGAGGCTTTGCTGGTAGTTTATTACTTAACATTTGGCAATTTTTGCAAAATGTGGATGGCTTCAGCCCCAAAGCCCTCTGCTCCACGGTGCCTGTTCTCAGGTTGGATTTCTATTGACGCCCTCGAATCATAAACGACCTAAAACAACTACAAATGCATTCTTGATAGCAAGGAAAATATTTTGAACAAGAAGCATGGAGAAATCTAAAAAACCTGTCCCTTCATGGCCTTTCCTATATTGGCAATATTTTCCTAAATTTTGTAGAGATTATTTGGGATTCTGAACAGCGTTAATTGGCTAGGCGAGGCTGTTCCCATGGTGTTTGTGGTGATTGTTGTGGTAGTAGTAAGCAGATGGCAGGATAAACGATATGGCATGGAAGAATCGTTTTTAAGGCTCAGTTGACACGCAGAAAAATTTAAACTTTTATACAAAAGGAGACATAATTACACCAATCATTTGGAGAAGATGTTGAGTGTAATAAAGCCTTTTAAAGAGGAGGAATTGACAACAATGTGACATCTATTCAGCCCCCCACCTTTAAATAACCACGCCCTTTCCAGCAATCGCCTAAGATATGTACAAAAAACTTTGACCTGCCCAGTACAAAAGGTTGAGATAGCTACTCATGGAGGTAGAGGAGTAGAAAAGGGTGCAAACCGAAAAATGATTTTTGGTCAGGGGGAGGTGGGTTACGAATAATTCAGTAGCAGGTTGATGCCAAAAAATGTCATCATCAATGGGACTAACCAATTTAGGGTAAAACACAGCATGTCCGACCTTTAGAGTTTAATAAATCAATTTATTCCAGAATTCACAAAAAATTTTTGTGCCACAAGTTTATGGACTGGAGCGCATGCTCCAAATTTGCTTACTATTCTCGGTTTGAAGACGTTATTCTCAGGCAATGTCCATCCTTAGACCCCGTCTACACGAACACGTATTCAATAATCTCTTTTGATTATTTTACCTCCTTTCTACACGACAGCGATAACTGTGTGCCTGAAAACCCAATCATTAGAAGCGTCTTTCGCAATGGAATCTTTTGAAAATCAATAATTTGAAAAAGTATCTTTTCCGTGTAAGCAAAAGACTTTTGACACGTTTGGATTTTGATGAAAACGCAATCTTAAGATATTCACATAGACATGGTCGCAGTTAAACTTATCCAGAAAACTCTGAATAGCCCTTCATTTACTGTAGTGCCTGTTGAGAGAAACTTGGACGAAGACCAAGAAAATGGCAACAAAACTCATGTTGTCGTGCACTGACTTATCATTTGTTCTTCATAATAATCACAAAGCTGACTCGAAGAAGATGCACGCTGAAATATGTCCGGCGATGAAAATTGTACAAATAACGGTAAACGACACAAGTTTCAAAAAAAGTGATCCGATTCGAACTACAACCAGCCAAGCTCAAAGGGGCCTAGGAAAAGTGACGTCAAACAAGGATACTGCTTCTGGTCAGCTAACCGTAGGACAAAATTTTGTAATTTTGTCTCTTTCGTAAAATTTTGAAGTTGTTCAAGAAACTGCAATAGTTAGAAAATTTAATACCGGAACATGTATATGATTCCGAGGAATGACACAAATAAACGAAAAAGAGCCAGAGATTGAAGCAAATGTTTTTTCTGACTGTAAAATGGCCTAAATGCAACTTGAAACAACATCTTTCAGATTGGTTCAGCTGTAGGTAGGCTCAATGGTTAGGGCCGTGAACTTCAGATCCAAGGTTCAGAAGTTAATCTCCTTGCTACGCCCGCTCTCTATAATTCCAGGCGTAAGAATCACGAGGAGGGGGCAGGGGCACATTAAGAGGAAGGGCCAGGGCACTGCTCGATAGCACAGCATCTCAATGTCCTAAGATCTATCTTCGGAAGTTAGATAGGACCAAATAAAAATAGGTGCGGAACTATTATGACACCGTTTGTGGTCACTACAACATGATTTTATATAGGCACCTGCGTTGTAGACAAGAGATATTTTTTAAAACCTTTTGACATTAAAAACCTCAGACAAAGGCCCTATGTACCTATACGAGAATATAACCTCGTGCACAGTAGAAAATGCCAATTATAGTTGTCTCAAACGATTGAATAAAACTAAACTTCCAAAGGCTTCGATAAAAACCCTCTCAAAGAAAGCGACTTTGGAGTTTTTATCGGATGTCTCTTACATTTCCAACTTGAAAACACACCGACGTTAGTTGGGAAATTTGCAAATTTCTCACCATTGCCTAATACGCAATCACGTGCTTCTTTGTAAACCAATGTAAAGTTATGGGCATATAATCTGACGCTTTGGTCCTTCTTTAAGTACCGCAAACTACTACCACTGAAATTATCGTACTCACGTAAAATAAACACAAATGTTACTTTCCATTCAGTGTCCGTGTGTTCAAGTCTTGAAAACCTCGTAGTAAATATGTTTTCTTGAAGAAAGTTGAATGGGAGATTAGGTGAGAAAACGTCGTTTAAAACTTGATCTTATGATATACATTTCATTTCGTGATAATAACTTTCTTCAAAGTATGTAATCCTCCGCTTAAAATTTTTTGGCGCGAATCGAGACTAAAAACGAAATCCTTGTTACTGTTTTTCTTCATGATGAAATCCTTTTACGGAATTTTTCATACGAGTTCAATACAAGCTTGATGAGTGTACCCCAAACTTTCTGTGTGATAGTAACACTTGACATACTTGCTCATAAAACCCATAAAGATTAAAATTTGATTAATTTATTCATTTCACAATTTTTATTGCCCGATTTTCCTGAATAATTTTTATTTGTACATAATTTGAAAATGGCTTCGAAAAAAGCAAAAATTTTAAATTTTAAATTTTTATTAAATTTTTTCGTCTGTCCTTCTTCACAATATAAACCTTCTTCAGAACTATATATACCCAGCTGTGGATCTAAATAGGCCAATCGAAAAAGCGCGAGCACATCACCGGTGTAATTACCTACTTAAGTTATCGGTATTGGCACGGGGTAGTAAATGGATGACTATTTCGGTTATGTGCTCGCGTTTATCTACGGATACCTGAAATGGGTTAATTACCAAGCAAAGAAATCATCCACAAAAAGTGGATAGGACATTGATGAAAGCAAGCAACAAGTTTATATGCCCTT